TAAATGTGTCTTAAAACCTTTGTTGATAAAGAGAAAAAAAACATATTTTGGAGATTGCATTTACCGCAAAAATCAGAAGTTTTAGAAAGTCAGACGAAAAGTTGAGAAAAAAAATCGATCGGCGAACAGTGCAGTCCGTACGGATGAATAGTGCTATCCGTACGGATGAATAGTAACGCATGTGGTTTCACCAACAAAGGAGACCAAGAGTTTAAAGGTATAGCATATGGTTTCAACTATGCACAAAGAAAACCTTGGATTACACCTTGAGTTTGATAAAGAAAACCTTGGATTACACCTTGAGTTTGAGCTATTCATATATTGAGAGTTGAAGAGGTAGGGAAACACTTGGGTAGAAAATAAGGTTGTTCTTGGGCACCTTCAGGTTTGTTCTTGGGAACTTGAAGGCGAATGCTATTTTCTTATAACTCATCTGTAATCTCTTGTAACAACTTTCTGAGTATAGTGAATTGGAGAGCTGCTCTCTCCCCCAGAGTAGATTGTTTAATCGAAAACAAACCTTCGATTTTTTTTACTTATTCTGTTATATTATTTGTGTACAAATTATTATTGTTGAATACCATTTATTTTAGTTGCTATTGTTCTTTGCTTCACAAGTTAATATTGAACTTTATCGTAATTCACAACAAGATTCACAACAAGTGGTGCGGTGAACGTGAAACAAAGAGATATTGTTGACAAGTGAGCAACATGGTTAGTAGATGGCAGATCGAGAAATTTTCCGGTAACAACGACTTCGGATTATGAAAAATTAAGATGCAAGAAATTTTAATTCAAGAGAAGTATATCGATGCTTTGAAGAGTGAATCATTGATGCCTGCAGGGCTTACAAGGTACAAAAGACCGAGATGATAGATAGGTCAGGAGTGTCATTATCTTGTGCCTCGAGGATAAAGTTCTAAGAGAAGTCGTCGGTGAGAAAACTGTGGTTGCTGTGTGGAAAAAACTTGAATCATTGTATAGGACAAAGTCTTTGGCCCACAGGTTGTATCTGAAACAACAACTCTATTCATTCCGAATGGTGGAGAACAAATTCATAGTTGAGAAGCTCACAAAATTTCACAAGATTATCGATGATCTTGAGAATATTGAAGTGAAGATTGATGATGAAGACAAAGCTTTGCTCCTGTTGAATTCATTACCCAAATCCTTTGAGCACTTTAAGAACGCCTTTCTTTATGGTAAGGAAGGTACTATTACTTTGGATGAAGTCCAGACGGCGGTGAAATCCAAAGAATTTTCAAAGTCCAAAGATTTGAAGATTGAAGATAGTGGTGAAGGCTTAAATGTGTCAAGAGAAGGAGGTGAGCGTAAAGAGATGTCCAAATCAAAGAGGTCTGACAAGTCAATGGTAAAATATTTTAATTATCAGAAAATAGGTCACTTTAAAAGGGATTGTCCTGAAAGAAAGGTCAATGAAGATTCTGTTCAAGTTGTAGTTGCATTGGGTGAGGAAAGTTATGAGGATGCCGAAGCACTAGTAGTATCGAGTTTGAAAACTGAAGACAATTGGGTCATTAACTCAGGTTGCTCTTATCACATGTGTTTAAGAATACAAAACTTTGAAACTTTGAATATGGTGCAAGGTGGAGTAGTTCGCCTTGGTAATAATAAGGCATGCAAGGTTCATGGTATTGGTACAGTCAGATTTAAAATGTTTAATGATTGTGAACTTCTTATTCACAATGTGAGGCATGCTCCAGAACTCAAGCAAAATTTGTCATCTATAAGTATGTTTGATGATCTAGGCTCTTGTACTAGAATTGAACGTGGAGTGTTGAAGATTTCACGTGATGAATTGATTATTGCTAAAGGGTATAAAATATGTGGTCTATATATTTTAGAAGGTTCAAATGTTATTATTCATTAATCGTTAACTAGTTGAGTCTTTCATGACAAGGAAGAGCTATGAGATTTGAGTTTAAGGCGTTATGAATTATTTGAGAAAGTTTCAGATGAGTACAATGAATTTTGCAGAAATAAAGGGATAAAAATGCATGTTAACGCAGAGTTATTATTGAGTATTTGGGAAAGAGTTGGGGTTAAAACATCTTACTTGGTTGGTAGAGAACTTCTTCAGAAGAAGAATAGTTAAAACCAAGGGAGAAACCTGGGAGAAACTGTAACGGAGAAAACTCAGTTTGAGGTAGAACTTCCTAATATGGATGCTAGCAGTAGTGAGGGAACAGTTACATAGATCTCTGATTATCATTTGAATCATGATAAGGTAAGGAGAGTTATTGTAGCATCTCAAAGAGACAGTTATGTTAGCCTTGAATATTATGTTTTTAATAGGACTGCAAAATAAAAGAAGAAAAACCTTCATGGAGGCATTTGAAAACAAGTGGAGTCAAGGGTGGTTGAAAAATCATACTTGTAGACTTGTTAAATTATCTAGGCAGAAAAAGATAATTGAGAACAAGTGGATGCAAGTTGCGAGATCAAGAGTCAAGGGTTGCTTGAATTTGATCAAAGTTATTAATTAAATTTTCAACATGGTAGAGAGCAACAATGTTTTTTATTGTTAAATTGGTATCAACACGGTCTAAAGTCAAAGAGAAAAATGTTGTAAATATTCCTTAAAACCTTTGTTGATGAAGAGAAAGAAAATATATTTTAGAGATTGCATTTACCGTGAAAATCAGAAGTTTTAGAAAATCAGACGAAAAGTCGAGACAAATAAATCGGTTGGTAAATAGTGTAGTCCGTACGAGTAAATAGTGGTATCCATACGGATGAATAGTGACAGACGTACGGTGAATAGTATTTTCGAGTTTTCGGAACTTTTCAATTCGTTCCAGGATCCATGTGATTTTGGGCTTTGTTTGTTGGATATTTGCTATTATAAATATTTATTTCTTATATGTTTGGTGTGTGATAATCTTTAGAGTTTTCACCAACAAAGGAGACCAATGGTTTAAAGATATAACATAGGGTTTCAGCTATGCACAAAGAAAGCCTAGTGATTCATATATTGAGAGTTGGAGAGGTAGAGAAACACTTGGATAGAAAATAAGGTTGTTCTTGGGTGCATTCAGAGTTGTTCTTGAAAACTTGAAGGCGAAAACTATTTTCTTGTAACTAATCTGTAATCTCTTATATTATTTGTGTACGAATTATTATTGCTGAAGACCATTTATTTTGGTTGCTATTATTGTTTGCCTTACAAATTAATATTGAATTTTGTCGTAATTCACAACAAAATTCACAACATAACCAATACAAAAACAATAATTTTTAACATTGAACGCAGATATCAATGCGTCCTTTCATTAATATCATTATGCGGATAATAAACTTAACTCTAACTCTAGGCATTAGCATGCAATAAATGTAGATGTTGATCTAGTAAAGACCAATACTTTTTAAATGTCAAGTTATATCATGAGAATATATTTTCGGTAGCTAATCCAAAATAAGTCAAAGAACATCATGTTTTGCCATGACATTGACAACAAGTTGAAAGATATTACAAATAGATTCAATCAAATTACTGAAAATAGAAACAAGTTTCTTTTACGAGAGGGTGTTCTGGTTAAGGTAACCCCAATTGAAGGCGCTGAATGGCGCCAAACTAGCTACATATTATTGAACCAATAGTTTTTGAACGTGAAGATGACAAAGAGAAGAATGTCGAATTTCTTCTCACTAAAGAGACGGACTCTGACTTACTTTCTGTCTATCCTATTGTTAGCTTAGTTGGTGTTGGAGAAACAACTCTTTTTCAATTGGTCTACAATGATCACAAGGTGAGTAGTAATTTAATATGAAATCTTGGGTTTGTGTTTTTTGAAACATTCTCAATTGAGAGAAATATGTGTTCAATCATAAAATCTCTCACAGGAGGAAAGTGTCACGTCTTGCATTTAAATGTAATACAAAGAAAGGTGCAAGATTGTAAGGTAAAAAATATTTTCTAGTTTTGGATGATGTGTGCACTTAAACCTATTATATTTGCTAATAAGAATCATCAATTTTTGAAATATCTTATGTCATGTATTGCATATTTTAAAACTTCCATATTATTAACATAACTTGATGATCAATTCTTGAGTGTATATAAAGCACCATTTTAATATTTAATACTTCACTTCAAATTCTATTTTAAGTCTGAAATGAATCTAGTAGTTATGCATAAATATAAAATTGTTCAAAACACAATTTTGTAACTTTAATGTAACACTGGCTCGCTTATTATAAACTTCTAAATTGCATGAAGCATCTATACAATGCTCATCTAACTGAAAGATACGTTCAAACCACTAATTTCTTTTATATAATATCTTGGACCCTGGCATAAATCAGACACTCAAACACACCTTCAACTTGTAATGTAGATGATATATAGGATTCCGTTGAAGTTGGTAGCTGTGATGTTGGATTTTATTTGAAGTCTCACATTGTTTAGGTTCTTTGGATGTTGAATGTATAAATATGCTTTAAGTTAGCTTTTAGGATTGAGACTCAAGCATATTTGACATGGTATGGGAGCTTGATGAAGCTCCATGCGATGTGGGAGCAGAAGTGGATCCTAGTGTGGATCAAGGCTGGTGTTGTGGGTGTCCCACATGGACTAGACTCATGAACATTTATGTCGTCTTGAATTGTACATTCCAGTTCATATCCTTATGTTCATTATAAGCTGTCCCAACCCAAAATCTCAATCAAAGTTATTCTAAAAGCAAAGTTAGTTCATCATTTTGTCTGCCACATCTTAGTGGTTAAAGTAGCTCAATCAAACTCTTCCCAACAATCTTTACTTGCCAGTGGGGATTAGTTTCATGAACTTTATGCAAAAGTAGATTCTTTACTTGCTAGTGTGGCTTTCATAATTCTCAATACATCAGCTACAACTACTTGCATACTTGCTAGCACTGCATTCTGCACACAGTTCTTTCTGTTTACTTCAGCACTCCAAAATTCAATCTAAACCAAGTGTTCATCTTCTTTTTATTTTCATCTCTTTCATTACTGAAAAAATGGCTGAGGCCTTGCTTGGATTTGTGTTAGAGAATTTGTCATCTCTGCTTCGGAATGAATTTTCCACCATTTTCGGAATCAAGTCAAAGGTTGAAAAGCTATCAACCACCTTAGATCTCATTAAGGCTGTCCTTGAAGATGCTGAGCAGAAACAAGTCACTGAACGCTCTATTAAGGTATGGCTGCAACAACTCAGAGATGTTGTATATGTGCTGGATGATATCCTTGACGAATGTTCCATTGAATCTAGACGGCTGAGGGGCTTTATCAACCCAAAGAACTTAATTTTTCGTTGTGACATAGGCAAGAGGTTGAAAGAAATTACAAGGAGATTAGACGATCTTGCTGATAGTAAAAACAAATTTCTTCTACGAGAGGGTATTACTGTTAGGGAAAGCTCAATTGAAGTACCTGAATGGCGTCAAACCAGCTCATTTATTGCTGAACCTAAAGTTTATGGACGAGAAGATGATAAAGAGAAGATTGTTGAGTTTCTTCTCATGCAAGCAAGGGACTCCTCTCTTTCCATCTATCCCATAGTTGGCTTAGGCGGTGTTGGAAAAACAACTCTTGCTCAATTGGTCTACAATGATGTTAGGGTGACAGGAAATTTTAATACAAAAATTTGGGTTTGCGTTTCTGAGGCATTTTCTGTCAAGCGGATTCTATGTTCCATTATAGAATCTATCACATCTGAGAAGTGTGATTCCTTACATTTAGATGCAATACAAATAAAGGTGCAAGATTTGTTGCGAGGTAGAAGATATTTTCTAGTTTTAGACGATGTATGGAACAAAACTCAAGAACTAGAATCTGGATTAAGCCAAGAAAAATGGAATAAGTTAAAATCTGTGTTGCTTTGTGGATCTAGAGGCTCTTCCATTTTAGTTTCCACTCGAGATGAGGATGTTGCGGAAATTGTGAGAACATGCCAAACTTATCATTTGTCTGTTCTCCGAGAAAAGGAATGTTGGTTGTTGTTCAAACAATATGCATTTGGACATGACAGAGAAGAATGCGCAGAACTTGTGGCAATAGGTAAGGAGATAGTAAAGAAATGCGGTGGATTGCCTCTTGCGGCACAAGCATTGGGAGGTCTGATGCGATCGAGGAGAGGAGTAAAAGAATGGCTTGAAGTTAAAGAGAGCAGAATTTGGGATTTAACAGATGAGAATTCAATCTTGCCTGTCTTGAGGTTGAGCTACTTTCATTTAACTCCGACCTTAAAGCAGTGTTTTTCTTATTGTGCTATATTTCCCAAAGATAGGATAATCATGAAAGAAGAGCTCATTCATCTTTGGTTGGCTAATGGATTTATTTCGTCTAGAAAAAATTTGGAGGTCGAAGATGTTGGCAGCATGTTTTGGAATGAATTGTGCCAAAAATCATTCTTTCAAGTCATCAAGATTGATGAATATTCTGGAGACATTTCTTTCAAGATACATGATCTTGTCCATGATCTTGCTGAGTCGATAATGGGGCAAGAATGTGTGATTTTGGAGAATGAAAACATGGCTAATTTGTCAAAAAGTACACATCATATTAGTTTTCATGATGCTTCTCATTTATCAGTCAATAAGAGTGCCTTGAAAAAAGTAGAATCCTTACGCACAATGTTTGATTTGAATGATTATGGTTATCGATACACCGGTTACTTCCCAACAAACTGTTCTCTTAGAGTTTTATGCATCTCCTCTTACCAGGTATCGTCACTCGGGAGCTTAATTCATTTGAGGTATTTGGAACTTTTTGGTTGTAACGTTAAAAGCATCCCCGACTCAATTTACAACTTGCATAAACTAGAAATCTTGAAATTGAAAAATATTTCAAGACTGAGATGTCTACCGAAACGTTTGGCTTGCTTACAAAATCTCAGGCATCTTGTCATTGAAGATTGTGATGCACTTTCTCAATTGTTTCCCGACGTTGGAAAACTAACTTGCCTAAGAACTTTAAGTGTATACATTGTTAGTTTAGAGAGAGGACAAAGTTTGACAGAATTACGTGATCTAAACCTTGGAGGGACATTGAATATCAAAGGGTTAAAAGATGTTGGTAGTTTATCTCATGCTCAAGATGCCAATTTGATAGCTAAAAAAGAACTCCAAGAAGTATGCATGTCATGGAGCGTCAATGATGAAATTACCGACACCCCTACTGTTAGTTCCGAGCAAGTACTAGAAGGGCTCCAGCCACACACAAATCTCAAAAGGTTGAAGATACATTACTATAATGGATTCTGTTTCGCAAGTTGGATCAAAACTCTAAGTAGTTTAGTTTCTCTTGAACTTAAGGGTTGCAACAAGTGTGCGCGCCTTTCACCAATTGGTAAACTACCATCTCTTAGGAAACTCGAACTACGTGATATGAATGATGTCAAATTTGTGGATGATAATGATGACGACGATGATGAATTTCACGACAGTATGGACGTGAAGATTTTCCCATCTCTTGAGGAACTCATATTATTTAATTTACCAGGATTAGAGAGGCTGTGCAAACTGGAAAGAAGGGAGTTGTTTCCCTGTCTTTCTATTTTGAAAATTTCCTTTTGCTCTCAACTTAGATTGTCGTGTCTTCCGTGTGTTAAACACCTATCTGTAGATGGATGTAGCAATGTGTTACTGAGTTCAATCTCTAGCTTATATGGTCTTACTACCCTTTCCCTTGGTGGTGGTAGAGGAATAACATCCTTTCCAGAGGGGATGTTCAGAAATCTTACTTGTCTTCAAACTCTAAGCATATGTTATTTTCAGAACTTGAAGGAGTTACCAAATGAACCCTTTAGCCTTCCTTTGGACAGTCTGGAAATCTCTTTCTGCGATGAGCTTGAGTCTTTACCAGAAAAAATTTGGGAAGGTCTGCAATCCCTTCGAACCTTGACAATTGCTTTTTGTAAAGAATTGAGATGCTTGCCGGAGGGTATTCGACACCTCACTTCTCTAGAGGTTCTGAACATTCGTGGTTGTCCAACATTAGAGAAGCGATGCAAGGAGGAAACAGGGAAGGACTGGAACAAGATAGCGCACATTCCAAACATAAATATTAGGCATCCAAATCCGCCGTAGTTCCACCTCCACCATTCGCTATTGTCGTGCTGCTGTTATGTTGTGGAGAATAAAAGAAGGCAGTTGATTGATCAGTTATGTCTACTGCTTTGTTTGGGAGTTCTTATGATTGCTTAATTTTATTGTTGTTTGTGTGATTGTGCTCTGGGAGTTCTTATGATTGCTGATCTTCTCCACTCTTCAAAAGATTGTGCTAAACAGTTCTACTTTTATTTGTGACTATAATTTGCTTAGTTCTTGTGATTATGTTTAAGCGTATAAATTTGATATATGTATGACAGTGAACTTTCTGCTTGTTGCAATATTATGAAAATTTTGTTTAATTTTAATGTCACGGTTGTTTGTGTTGTTTTGTTTTGGAAGGTTGGTTTGATTTTTTTTTTCTTTTTTTTTTAATAGAAACAGTTTTAGTTATATAATTAAGTTTATATAAAAATTGATTGGAAAGAGGAACAAATTCTGCAGATACGTCTAAATTAGATAAATATTTAGAGAAATGTTATTCTTACATCAATATATATATTTCACCGTAATTTACTATTCATCAATACGGTAAATAGTAAAATATTATAATAATAAAATATTTTTAAAAAATATATATATAAAAATTAATTTTTTTTATATCTGAGCGTTTATTAACCAAATTTATAACTTTATTAACCAACGTTTTACATTTCATTAATCAACTTTGTTTTATTATTAAAAATTACTTTTAATATCTGAACATTTATTAACCAACTTCATCACTTCATTAACCAATTTTTTACATTTCATTAACCAACTTTATTTTACTATAAAAGATTATTATTCACGCACTGTGCACGTACACTGTTCACATGACACTATTCATGCATTGTTCACGGTACTGTTTATGTACGGTTTTAATGTTTACGGCACTGTTTACCGTATTTGTGAATAGTATATACGGTGTAGATGTAAGTGTGGTGTAGAAATAGCAATGCTGAAATATTTATTATCGTAGAATGTACAATATTACTATACATATATTAGAGTGCACAATTTCTTTTGACAAATATTTAAAGCACTCTATCGATGACTACCACACCCTCGTGAAAATACAATTATATTCTTAAATTTTAGAGATGTATCTCCAAATGCATCCTAAATACACATAATCAATATTGATTTTGAGTCACGTCTCAATTGTATGTATATTTTATTTTCGAAAATGCATCTCTGTAAGCCTTACGGAGTTGTATTCCAAAGCATACTTAAGCAGAAAACTACAAAATAGAGCTTTCGTAACATCCATTTTACAACGGCCTTCCTGTTAACCGTGGTAATAACTTTTTTTTTTGACGTTTTTTTGTTGTTGTATTTACTAAAAGACATTTCACTGCATCTTGTTTGTTGTATCCTGTATGTTATTTAAAGTTTGTTTTGATGAATATTGTTGTTAATGTTTGTTTAAAAGATGAGCTTATTGTATCTTATGTGATTTGAGTGTGTGTCCAATCCCTTATCAAATATATAACTTTTTATATTGCATTATAAAATTACGATATGATAGATAAAGTTATATTAGAAAACAAGTACACGTTCAACTCTTGACAAAAATTCTTCATCCTGTTATATGCATTTCGTTCTTTAATCGTTAGAACTTTATTTAATGCTTGTAGTTCTCCCACCGCGTCTGTCTCCACCTCTAATTTTGTTTGCAAAGTAAATAATACTTTACAAAATGAAGAGGTGAAGGAAGATGAGGTTGAAGAACTAGGAGCATTAAACAAATTTTTTACTATTAAAGAGTAAAACATGGATAACTTAATTGAAAAACTCTTGTCAAAGATTAAATGTGAATTTGTTCTTCTAATATAACTTAATTTGCCATATTATAATGTTCTATATCAAATTGAAAGGTTATATGTTTAGTGAGCATTGGAGAAATAAACATTCCACATAATTTATAATAAACTTAGTGTATATATTACAACAATTGTTTATACCAAATATTGTTAAATGCTATGCATTAAAGAATATCACAACGGTTGTTTAAAGTAATCGTTGTGGTAGGTAGGGCACTACATAACTTATAATCACGATCGCACGATCCTGGTGAAAAACATCATACATACAACCACCTCTTACCTGGTCAAGCGTGGTGGTATCACTTCCAACTGTTGTGAAATTACTATTACATAGTATTGGCAAAAGCAAACAGGAAACTAGAAAGATGCAGATTGACAAAATAAAATTAGCATTGATAACATAAAAAATAAAACATTACATAGGTGATCTTAACATAAATCAAACATTACATTTCAATATTCATGTGGATGTTTCAACATCCTCACTATATGTTAGATTGATCTCAAAAAATCGTCACATGCACCTCGATCGGAACTTTTGTTTCTAAACGGAAAAAAGTATTTGATGTTGGTAGGTTCTTTGACTTTACGGGCGTCCCTGAGAACAAGCAAGTTAAGATGGTGGCGATCAGGTTGAAGAGTACTGATGTTGTCTGGTCGGATAAACTTGTTGTTCAGAGGAAGAGGCAAAGAAAAGTGTTAATTAGAAATTTGTAAAGAATGAAGAAATTGATACTAGATCAGTAGGATTATGAACATATTATTTATAAGATGTATAATCGGTGTGTTTAAGGCAAGAGAGATGTGATTAAACATACAGCTGAGTTCATGCATTTTTCTGAGCACATTGAATTGGGAGAATCAGAGAGCCAGAAAGTGGTTTGATACATTAGTGGCTTTAAGGGATCCTTGCAGGAGAAGATGGTTTTAGATACTGTATAAACTATGGTTGAATCATCCAATCTAGATTTAAAGACAGAATTGATGGAAAAATCTCCTCAAAATTTCTCATCTTTTAGAATGCATTCTCCCTATAATAACTTTGAATCAATAAGTGACAAGGAAAATGGTGCAACAACCAAAGATCCCAACCTTGGAAATAAGAGGGCTAGCAACTATAGAGGTGTGCAGTAGGGTAAAAAAACATTTCATACACTCAACCTAGATGAGACGTATGTTATCGTTGAAATGGAAGATGCCACAAATCAAATGTTTGTCCAACAAGAAGAGTCATTGTTGTTTGCGGAAGAAAGGGAGGAAGAGGATGAAAGAGAAGGAACTGCAGTTGAGAACGATGAATATGTAGAGGTTGAGTTTGTAGAGGAAAAAACTGATGAGCAGGTAAATATTGTGTTGCAGAGAATTTTACTAGCATCCAACGATGAAGGGAAACACAATAATTTATTTAAAACCCATTGTTCTATCAAGAATAAGGTGTGTAATTTGATCATGGATAATGGAAACACAAAGAGTTATAGGGAAATGATTTAGTTCCATTTAGTGTGTCACCATTATGTCATAAATAGCTGGTAAATATCCTTGATGTTTCATTAAATATCTGCGAAAAATGGGTCTTACACCAGAACCAACCAGAGTGAATTTTATATTGTACAATATTAAACAAATGTATAACAAATTTAAGATTCTGAGACAAAACAACCCACAAACCCGCCTATAAAGGTAAGACTTTAAAAACTCAAAGATGGTGTACATGTGCTCGATGATATCCTTGATGAATGTTCCAATGAAACGAGCGGACTCAGTGGCTAATCTTCTATCAACCCAAAGAACATCAAGTTTTTTCATTACATTGCCAATGGTTGAAAAAAATTACTAGGAGATTCTAATAAGTTAGAGAAAGTAGGAACGTGTTTTTTCTACAGAGAGGGTGTTACTATTAAGAAGAACCTAATTGAAGTAGTTGAATGGCGCCAAACCAACTCTTTTATTCCTGGACCAAAGACGTTGGTATGAAATGTTGAAAACGAGAATACCGTTGAGTATCTTATCACCCAAACAAAGGATTGTGAATTCCTTTCCATTTATCCCATCGTTGGCTTAGGGGCTTAGGTAGTGCGGGAAAAACAACTCTTACTTAACATGTCTACAATGATATTAGGGTGAGAGTCGATTTTAAGACAAAAACTTGGGTTTGTCTTTAAGAGGCTTTTTCTGTCAAAGGGATTATGAGTTTCATTATAGAATCTATCATAGGTGATAAGTGTGAGGAATTAGATTTATATGTAATACAAAGGAAGTTGCAACAACAGTTGCAAGGAAAAAGATATTTGTTTGTTTTAGAGGATGTGTGGAACACAAATCAATAGTTGGAATTTAGATTAACCTATGAGAACTGGAATATGTTGAAATCAGTGTTTTTGTCTTAATAAGTTAATTATCCTAGTCAATAAAAAAAATCTTAAATTAATTTTTTAAAAATGACATGGCATTAGACACGTCATCTTAGATAGTACCACATCATTAAAAAAAAATTTAAATTGGAGAGGGGATTAAAATCAAACTCAAAACTTAAAAAAGGGATCAAAATCGTGGTTTTTAAAAAGTGGGGACCAAAACTCAAAAAAATATAAAATAGGGGGACCATAGTTGCAATTAAGCCTTCTTCTTTTAATTTAGTTAATTAGGACAATTACCAAGTTAAATCTAAGTTTTTTTTCATTTAAAAAAAACAGTAAAATTAAAACAACTTCTTTTAATAAGACAAAAATTAAAGCATTTTTTAGAATCCTAATTTATAAAAATTAGTTATCCTCTCTTAAAAGAAAACATCAAAAATGAAGGGTTCCGGATTTTTCTGTTCAGGTGTCGTAGGACCACCGCTTTTTCTTATTCATGTCTGTTTACTAATCCATGTTTGCTACTCATTCTTCAATTGTAATTGCGAGGCCATCATCGCGTTATATTCCGTCATTTATTTTTGCGATTTTTCATGATTTGTAATTTACGCGAGTAATCGTCGCTATCGCGGTGAAATTTGGATACCAAACTATTGATTAGTTTGAATCTTTAATTCATTTTGCAACCGAACTTTGATTTGTCCAAAGGAAGGGGTAAAGATCGAAATACCCACAATGCAATGCGAATGCAAGCTTAGAGAGTTTAGGTTCGGGGGTTGGTTAAACTTAGGGAAGGTGCTAGCATCCTAAGTTT